CCCAGTGACCTTTGCACCATAAAACCATTTCCTTTTCTTTATGCATAGTTGATTGTTTTGAAATGTATGAAACAGTGGAAATCACATTACCCGGGCAGGAATAAAGGGAGCAAATGCTGGTTTTCTGAAGGCCCATTAGAATCTGGGAAGGGTGGAAAATAAAATTATCTAGAAAATTATATTAGCAGTTCATTAGCAGCAGCAAACATTACAAGGTAACCATGAATCTGCACTGCCTTTAAAGAAAGAAGGGGGAAAAAGGAAAAAGAAAATGAGAAGCAATTGTTACTTCATTTGCATGCCAGAAATGAACTGCCCATGATTATGTTTGCAAAGAAACGGGAGCGATGCCAATTGCCTTCATCACAAAGGCTAAATTTGGCTCCATGCTGAACATGGGTCGCTCCAGGGAGGTGTCCGGACGCCATAGCTGCTACTGGGTAATGTCGTTTTGGTCCAGAAAAGAATTCTCCCCCCCCCCGAAAAAATTGGCAACAAATTTCAAAACCAATTTTGGTGGCATCCAATGAAAGGAAACCACAGGGGGAGAGTGAGAGCTGCAAATGTTTCTGCCTCATCAAACCTCGCAGCATTTCTGTGTGTCCATTTTCGACTTGCAAGTTTGAATTTGGTTTGAAGGGATGACAACGTTGTAGGCAACATGAGGAGTGTCAGAAGCCAAGAAGAGTGCTTTTGCATCATTCTGCTCAGCTCGATTTTGCGGGAGGAGCGGCTGGGTTTGCGAACAAGCCTCGGCAGTTTCATTCACACCCGGGCAGGGGATAATAATCTCAGGGTGGCTCTTGGCCGCAGGCGATCTGAAGACCTCGGTCATAGCCCGTTGTAGCGCCCTTCTAACTTGGTGCAGCACAGACACGGCACATTACAACCCCCTTCAGTCCATTGTAACATCACCATATACAACAAAGAGCCTTTGAACTCAGCGGTCTTCTCCTCGCTTGGCTGCGCTAACCATGAAAACGTACAAAACCCTTTGCGGCTGGGGATGTGCTTGGTGCGCCCCAGGTCCCAAGTGCGCTTCCAAGACAGGCCCCCTTGGGATCTCTGGGGCGCGGAGGACCCCGTCCGAAGCAAGCGGTGCCCAGCTGCGGTTTTCAGAAATCAGGGATCCCGGCCTTTGCACAGAGCTGCTTCTAAAGCTACACAAGCCAGCGGTTGTCCCCGCAGCTTTTGGCAGGAAAGGCTCTCGGATAAGTACTTCCTGATGCCATAAAAGCCGAGATCCTGCCTCTCTCTCTCTCCCTCTGACACAGACACGCGCCTTGGAAGTCGTTCCAACTGGAGGGCAGCAAAGCCGCCTCTCGGCTCACACCTGCACTGGCTTCCACCCCAATTAGATCCTCTTTAAGGGGAGGCGGCCCAGCTGGAAACTCTCCCAGGTGCGCACACCTTCCCGGCGCAAAGCTCTCATTATCCCGTGTGGCAAACAGCAACTTAATCACAGAGAGGGACCTCTAAATAGACATGGGCTTTTTTGGGGTAGCAATTTGTACAACGTGTCTGTGTGTCTGCGTGTGTCAGTGATTTCTGGGAGGGGAGTAGAGGACGAATGTGAAGTCACCGAGCCCCGCCTGTTGGCCAAACGGAGACGGCAGCCCCTGCATGGTCCAAACTCTCCAAGGCAAGTGGATGGACGAGCCGAGTTTCCAGGCAGTCGGGCTGGATTCATACAACACTAAACCCAGGTTAACAAGCCACAGTTGCTGTCTTCAGGGAAGGTATGATGGCCCCCCACCCTGCAGAACATATTCTGGCTCAGTGCAATGGCCTGGTTCACAGAAGGCCCTCAGACAATGGTTGGATTCCCACGACATGCGTGACCACAGACCACCTAACAGTGTGTTAGCCCAGCTTAGCGTGTTGTGTGAAGCCAGACTTTGAGTTGTGCCAACCCCATGGAGGACTGACCTCAGGGGCTCTGCCTCACGTAAATGAATACCCGTGTCAATGATCAATTTTTATTCAGGACATGCACCATTCCAAAATTTGGAACAGGACTCTCCGTAGGTATGTGACGGCTGCAAAACCGTCTAATAAAACCAGCCTGGGTTTCTCCTCGGCCTTGTAAGGTAGCCTAGCCGGGTTGTCCGAATGTAAAAACAGGCAGAGCTTGAATTGCACTGCTGTGCCTGCCATCTTGCCCTTTTTGACCATGAGCCGCAGACACTCCTGCAACCTCGGATGCGGACTCCAAATAGTGCCCCTTTTATGGGGAGAAGCATTATTCTTCTGCTAACGCCTGCAAGTCCAGCTGCCCTTAAACGTGCAGGTGGCACACCCAGCCCCCTCCAGGGTCTCCTCCTCGGATGCACAGCCCCCGGGAGCCCACCCCCGCTGCCGGGGAGATCACTCAGGCCAGAACCAGCTGGCAAGAAGGCCGCTGCCCAGAGCTGCAGCCCAGATTCGGGGGCAAAGTGAGGACGCTAATGCAGTGGGGCAGTCTGGGCTGCCGTGGCTTCTCCTGAGGGCCCAGAAGGAAGACAATGGCAGGACCAACAGAGGAACGCCATCAGACCCCCTCTTTTGGCTAGAGACCCCGATTTCTGCCAACCGCTTGTGCCACGCTGCAGGTCTCGTGCTCCCCATGCTGCTGCCAGGTGTCCCAACATTCATGTTCAAGGCCCCAAGGTGCTGGCGGACAGGAGAAATGGCAGGGGCTGCAGGACGACCCCCTAAGACCGAGGGGGGCTGAGTCAGCCCCGAACCAAAATGAGGGTTTGA